GGGGGGGGGGGGGGGGGGGGGGGGGAGAAGAAAAAAAGAGAACTACCGAAAACATGTGAAGAAATGATGATTGAATTAAATTTGATAGACATGTGGAGGAAATTAAACCCTGAGAAAAAGCAATTTACATTTTACTCCAACCCTCACCAATCATGGACACGAATCGATATGGTGTGGATGAATGGTGAATTAGTAAATGAATTAAAAGAGATTGAAATTTTACCAAACGAATGGGCAGATCACAACCCAATTCCAATAGTGTGGAAAGGCAGGAAGAAACCAAGGAAAAGGTGGACCTTAAATACACAGTTAATTAAAGAGAAAGAATTTATGAATAAACTTGACGAGGAATTAAACTATTTTTTTAAAGAAAATAATAATGAGGCAACTACGAAACAAAATATTTGGGATACAATGAAGGCAATAATAAGAGGCACAACGATATCATACACTGCTAAAAGAAATAAAAATATGCCCAACAAAATAAATTAGAACAAAGAATCAAAGAATTAGAAATTCAATTGCAAAACACCCCCAAAAGATTGCAAATTGAAAAAACAGATGATGATAATTAAACATAAATTAAATTTAATCGAACAAGAAGGAATGGTTTCAAAGTTAAATACAGCCAGACAGATATTTTTTGAACAGGCCAATAAACCAGGAAGGTGGTTGGCCTATAAAAAAAAAGAAAAAAGATTGATCTACCAGTTAATAGATGAGAACGGGGATGCCCAACAAGGGATAGAACAGAAAAAAGAAATTGCATGTAAATTTTTTGAAGATCTTTATAAAAAGAAGGAGGTAGATGAGGATATGATAAGAAACTATTTGGGTATTCCTAAAGATAAAATAATCAAGGAAGAGATGAAGGAAATGTTAATTAGAGATATTATGTGGCCCGAGTTAAAAGCAGCAATAGAAAACCAAAAGAACAATAAAACCCCAGGACCCGATTGGATACCAGGGGAACTTTATAAAAAAATAGGAGAACAAATAAGACCTCTCATGGTGGAAGTATATAATGAGGTCCTATTAGCAGCAAGAATGCCGGACTCATGGAAGGAGACACTGATATCGTTGATTCCGAAAGAAGATTCAGATTTACAGCATATACAAAATTATAGACCAACTTCCCTGTTAAATACTGATTATAAAATATTTACCACAATTATAGCAGATAGATTGAAAAAAAATATTGAATGAATATATACATAAAGATCAAAACGGATTTCTTCCTAATGGACAAATTAGGAACAATTTAAGAATAGTATTAAATGTTTTGGAATACTATGAAGCCCATCCGGAAAAACAAATAGCCCTTGTATTCTTGGATGCACAGAAGGCCTTCGACAATCTAAATTGGCAATTCCTAATTCAACAAATTTACAATATGAATCTAGGCACTAAATTTGAAAACATTGTGACTACAATTTATGATTCACAAAAGGCGAATATTATAATTAATGGAGAATATACGCGCTCAATAAAAATAGAGAAAGGAGTCAGGCAGGGATGTCCATTATCCCCCCTGCTCTTCATATTATCTTTGGAAACATTGCTTACACGAATTAGACAGAACCCAGGAATAAAAAGACTAAAAATTTTAAAAGAAGAATATAAACTCCAGTCATTTGCGGATGATATGGTATTTTTCATAGAGGAACCAATTGAAACAGGTCAAGAATTACTGAAAGAGTTAGATCAATTTGGGGAAGTTGCAGGACTTAAAATTAATAGGGAAAAAATGAAGTTAATAACTAAAAATTTAACAGAAAAACAAACTAAAATTGAAAAGGATAATGGGGTTACAAATAGTAAAAAAAGTTAAATATTTAGGAATTTGGTTGATGGTTCAATGCAAAACTCTAATGGAAAATAATTATAATTATTACAGCAAGTCAAAAAAGATTTAGAGATATGGGTTAAATTGCAAATCTCCTTATTAGGGAGGATTGCCACTATAAAAATGAATATTCTGCCCAAATTTATTTACTTATTCCAAACAATACCAATAAAAATACATAAAAATTATTTCGTGGAACTTAACAAGATAATCACCAAATTTATCTGGCAAGGGAAAAAAACGAGGATAAAGCTAAAGGCAGTGCAAGATACGAAGAGCAGGGGAGGTATGGCACTCCCAAATTGGGAATTATACTATAGTGCAGCCTCCTTACTCTGGTTGAAAGAGTGGGTAAATCTGTCGAATAAAAGGATCTTATTTTTAGAAGGCCATGATTTACAGAGGGGATGGCACGCTTTTTTATGGGACACTGGGAAAATTAAGCAGAAGTATTTCCACAGACATATAATTAGAGATTCCTTATTGGCTAATTGGAACAAAAAAAAAACATTATTCAAAAATCCCAATCTGGATCTCAATGATGGAGGCGATGATACATCCAAATAATCTAGATCTTAATAAAATGATAAAATACAAAGACCTTCTTGATGCGCAAGGAACTTTAAAATCATGGCAAGATCTCCAAGAACAAGGGCTACAAGTAGACCGGTGGGCTTACTTGCAAATTCAAAATAAATATAGCCAGGACAAGAAAATTTTTGGAATTTATACTAAGGCACAACAATTAGATAAAATTCTATTAGGTCCAGATAAAAAAATATATAACTAGATTTTATAATTATTAGAGATGGAATTAGAAGAGGAAGTAGTCAAAGGCAACATGATAGCTTGGAGTAGAAACATAGGACGTAGCATTACATTATTAGAATGGGAAAAGGTTTGGACAAGGAATAATAAAATTACAAAATCAGCAGCATATAAAGAAAATGCCTATAAAATGTTTTATAAATGGCATCTCTCACCCTCGAGAATAGCGAAAATGTCTCCTAACATGAATTTGAATTGCTGGAAATGTAAAAAGAAACAGGGAACATTCTTTCATATGTGCTGGCTGGTCCTGCACTGAAACCCAAAGATACTGGCATAGAATAAAAAAATGGTTAGAGGAAATAACGGTGGAGCAAATTGAATTAAAACAAGAATTCTTCCTATTGGGGATATTTAATAGACAAATTTCTAAAAATGTCAAATATATAGTACTGCATATTCTTACTGCAGCCAGAATAACCTTTGCACAGTGTTGGAAACAAGTAGATATTCCAACAGAGGAAATGGTTATTCAGAAGATAACAGCCTGTGCAGAGATGGACAAGTTAATCTTAGCACTTAAGGAAAAAGAAACATCAGAATATTATAGAAGCTGGGAATGTTGGTATGACTGGATACAACAAAAATAGAAAATATATTAGTAAACAACATAACATGTAAAAGAGGTAGTAATTATATATTCGCAACAAGATGTATTTGTAAGTTTATCACCAATATTGATAACAAACAAGGAACCATAGACTGTCGATAGTAGAATTGTTAGTTTTTAATCATTTTCTTTTTTCCTATTTCTTTTTTTTTCTTCTGTGTGTTGTGTATGTGTTTGTTTGATATTTTAGTTTTATAATCAATAAAGTTTGTTTGTTTTTTAAAAAAAGAAATAAATATATGCTTAACGTTATCGACCATTTACATGTTTATTCCTGTGAGTAGTTGTCATAGCCCAGTCCCCCCAGTACACTGCTTTGCGTGGGACCCATAATGCTGTTAAGATGGCCCTGCCAATTGCCCCTGGAGCCTGAGTGAAGGTAGCAGCAGGCGGACAGTCTCAATTCTGGTGCAGAAATTTCCTACATGGAAGTGGTCTGTTCAGATGGCCAGCCCCACCCCTGCTCGTATATAAGCATCCAAAAGAACAACGGGTAGATTCACCTGAGTCCAGGTTGTGCTTCAGACTTCTTGGCTTCAGAAAGGGGAGAACTTGAGAGCTGTAAGAAGCAGGCTAAGCACCTTACCGAACAGAGCAGAGAGCAATGGCCAGGTATGATATGATCATCAGATACAACAAACATTGTTTAGCAAATGTCTGTAGAGATTCTCAATCATCCAGGTCATGGGTGTACCAAAGGTGTTTTTTTCAGGAGGCAACTGGACTTTCTTGTTTTTTCTTTGAAGCCATTTTGCTTCTCATCCAAGATTTCAGCTCTAGCAGGATGGTGGGGAATGGAAGGATTTTGCAGACAGTTGGTCATTTGCATCCTTTGAGAAGGTTGTTGAGGCCACTTGGAGGTTTATCTGTGTCCTCAGGGTCACCTGAGTGGTGCTCCTGGTTCCTGTAGTCTGCAATTTATTTTTCCTCTGGAAATCCATTCCTCCTCCCATACCATTCAAAGGGTGTTTATTCCAAATTGTATAGCTAATTATAGCTAATATATATACAATTTGGGATTGGCACCATTGGAATGGTGTGGGAATAGTAATGGATTTCCAGAGGAAAAAATGCAGACTAGACTAGAGGAACCATTTGCACTACTCAGGTGACCCTGAGGATACAGATAAACCTCCAAGTGGCCTCAACGACTCTGTAAAAGGATGCAAATGACCAGCTGTCTGCAAGGAGTATAAATCCTTCCCTTCCCCACCATCAAGTCAGATCTGAAGAAGCTCTGAGAAGCAAAATGTCTTTAAAAGAAAAAGAAAGTCCAGTTGCCTCCTGAAAAAAGCACCTTTGGGACATTTGTCTAGCAAATGCATTTTGCGCTGGCCGAACGTTCCCCTTTTTCTAAAGCAGGGGTCTTCAACCATGGCAACTTTACGATTTGTGGACTTCAACTCCCAGAATTCCTCAGCCAGTGTGTGCTGGCTGAGGAATTCTGGGAGTTAAAGTCCACAAGTCGTAAAGTTGCCATGGTTGGAGACCCCTGTTCCAAAGCACCTCTCAGAGCAGAAGAATAAGTGTTGATTAAGGCACTGCAGACACTGGTGTTAATTGATGGGGCCAGTCCTCGGAAGGAAACCATGTCTTTCAGCAACCTGGTGTGTTTAACTCTGGCCTGCAAAGGTAAAAGAGAAGCATTGTAACGTAGGACACTATTCCTTTAATAGATTTATACGCAACTGGTACTTCAGAAGCCAACCTGAGGCCTTACCATTCGAATCACTTAAGAACAAAGCAGACCTGCTCAACTTTTGAGCTGAGCCAAGCACGCTGTTGATAGAGGGCCCAGTAATTCAGAACTGGATAGGCTGCAAAATTCAGGCATACCAAACAGTGCCCGTGGTGCTGCTTTTAGCTGTATCTGCAGGCCTGGACAAGGTCCCTTCATCCTTCACTCCAAGGGCCAAGTCCTCCCTCACACGCAGCAGCAAAGAGTTGAGCAGTCCAGTTTTGCAGGGGCTGCCCCGTTGCCTGTTTTCTTGTTCACTTTAGGCAGGAGGAGGACAAACGACATGGCCAGAGCACAGTGATAGAAGCTATGCACGTAGGTGTAATCCCAGTCCTAGGAAAAGGCAGAGTTGGTCTCATCAGCATCAACAGCCTCTCCTGCAGGAGCTGCAATGGCTGCCAATTTGCTTCCAGGGCAATTCAAGGTGTTGTTTATCCCCTTTAAAGCCCTCCATGGCTTGGGACTGGGTGATCTGAGGGAACATCTCTTGCCGGTCACATCCACCCAACCCACCAGAGCGGAGAGGCAAGGAATGCTGCAGGTCCCATCCCCAAGGGAGATACACCTGGTGGGACCCAGAAGAAGGGCCTTCTCTGTGGTGGCTACCTCTCTCTGGAGCATCATTCCCCCAGGGATTAGAACGGCCCCCATTCTGGTTCTCTTATGGAAGGTGCTGAAGACCTGGTTCTGCCAGCAGACCTGGGGAACCCATAGTGGGATGGAGCCCATCAAATGGCACATGTGATATGCTTCGCCAGGGCAGGGGGGTGGGAGTTGGGGGGTGATTTTGTTATATTGTAGTATATTAATTTATTTGATTCTTTTTTATTAGTTTTATTGTTTTAAATGAGGTTTTATATTCCATAAGCCACCTTGAATCACCATGGGTGAATAGGCAGCAATATAAATTCAATAAATAAATAGACAAAGCTACATCTGGATGCTGCATCTTATTCTCTGTATTCTGGATCTCTTCTGCATTTGTGGAGTGAAAGAAAAAAGCCTCATCCAACTCCCAAAAATCCATATGCAGAAAGCATTTAACCCGTGGTGGGATTCAAATAATTTAACAACCAGTTCCCTACCTGACTGGGTAGGCGTGGCTGGGTGGTCATGTGACTGGGTGGGTGTGGCCAACTCAATATGTCGAGCGGCACCTCATCTCGCCCGGCCTCTCCTGGCCCCGCCCCGCCTCACCCCTCCCCTCCCAGCTCCTCTTTGTCACGCCCGGCCACTCACCTCTAGTGAGGTGAGATAAAAAGAATGCTCACCTTGTGCAAATAAATAACAAACATCTTGACTTCAGGTTTGATGAATCTTGCAAAGTATTACCTCTCCTTCTAGTTTCCTTTCCTACTAACAGGTCCATCTCAGATTGTAATTTGCTACCACCTCTCTTGTCTTTTGCATCATTCTATGGGAGATTATTCTAAAGTGCTATCTATGATGTTTGCAGTTGGTTTCCTCCAATCCAGTTTTCCGTGAAATTTGCAGAAATAATTTTGACATGCCTTTCCCCCTTTAAAACAAAGTAGTGGTTTTAAGGGGCTGGCCTAGGAACCAAAAGACTCTTTGCTTCAGCCAGCAGCCTCCAGCTGTCTGCTGGTTGTGCTTGCTCTGAGCTGTTTTTCCTCTTGCATTTTGACTGGACAACCTTACCTCAAAGAAAAACCTCAGCATCAAAGCCAAGGCCCCAAAGCAGAAGCCGGGCCCAACCTGCTGCGTGTAGATGCTCTTATCTGGATACAGCCCTTTCTTCTCCTTCATCATTTGCAGCTGGAGAGAGATGGGAGATGACAGAGATTGGACTTTCTCCAGCCACGCTTTAATTTTAAAGCCTAGTCATGCAGGAAGAATTCCACCACACAGTTTTGCTTTTGTAGGGACATATTTTGAATCCTTCCAAATCCTATTGGAATATAGGTTACACTTGTCTAGCTGAAATGAGTTCAGTGGGATTGCCAGGTTAGGACCTTTTCTTGCCTGCTAAGAAAGTTCAGTTTCCATTCGATTTTGCTAGGGATGGGGACTGGGGTGGCGGTTCTTAATTTATGACGTCCTCAAGTTGGAGGGGGGGCCACAAGGCCACACTGCTCTTTGCAGCCCCCCAAAAACATCCTGGACATTCTGGGGTCCCACTTGAAGACCTTCGAAGAAGGAATTATAGTTCCAGGCTCAAATTGCCCTTTTTGTTAGAAAATTCCTACCACCTCTCCCAACAGAATCTGCTTCCTATCCTCTAAATCCATTATCATAGAAAAGACACTGATGCTGATCATCTTCACTGCATCATTTTTTCAGATGATAGCAGAATTGTAGAAGTTCTACAGAGGAATGGTTCAGTCTGTCATCTGCACCTCTATAACTGTCTGGTTTGGTTCTGCAACCCAACAGACAGACACAAACTTCAGAGAGTATCCTGCACAAGTCAAAAAGAGGGCTGTGAAAATATTTACAGACCCCTCACATCCTAGACATAAACTTTCAACTCCTACCCTCAAAACGACTCCTATAGAGCACTGCACACCAGAACAACTAGACACAAGGAGAGTTTTATTCCTGAACACCATCACTCTGCTGAACAAATAATTCCCTCAACAGTGTCTAACTATTTACTAAGTCTGCCCTACTGTTACTATTAATCTTTCCTTATTGCCCATCCCCTCCCACTTGTGACTGTATGACTGTAACTTTGTCTCTTGTATCCTTATGATTTATATTGAGTGTTTCCTAGTATGATTTGATTGCTTATTGTATCCTATGACTATTATTAATGTTGTACCTGATTATTCTTGACTCTTGATGAATGTATCTTTTCTTTTATGTACACTGAGAGCATTAGCACCAAGACAAATTCCTTGTGTGTCCAATCACACTTGGCCAATAAAGAATTCTATTCTATAGAATACCATCATTTCCCCCCCATCCGAGTCTGAAACATCTCCAGGACTCCATTTTCTCTTCACCATTCCTCTGGTGTCCTCTGATTATCATCCTTTTCTTGGTCCCATCAGGATCATTTTGAAATTTATTCCAGTTCTTCGGTGCCTTCCCCCCTCCCCCCCCAACAGTAGGATGTGTTCATATTTGGCTGATAGGCCTTTTCCATCTATTGTTGAGGTGGTCATTTTTGCTTCTAATGTGGCCATGATGGGATTCCTTGGAGGAGGCCTCTGGGGGCCTGCAAAAGTTGCTGATGGTACCCAGTCATGACATGAAGCCACAGGAGGACACAGTTGTAAGAGAACAGCAGTTGGCGGTGACTGGGAGTGCCCTATCCACGGTCATCCGGAAACTAATCCCTCCCTGAAATTGGGATACTTTTATTCTTAAATTTCTTAAGTTCTTCCCAGTTTTCAGTTGAAGTGACACTTTGTGCCAGACCTTTTTCACTGTGATAAAGACGTGGTCTTACCCATTTGACCGTTATCACGAGAACGGCTGTGCCGATTGGTCCAGAGTAGACACCGTATCCCCACCGGTCATGGTAGATCCTGACAGCTATGGTAAGCACTCCAAACATCACCAAAGTTGATCGTTTGGGTTCATCGAACTCTGCCAGAGCTAATAAAAGGACAAGAATTGAAGGACAACCTCATTTAAAATCCCAACTCTTACCGCTTTTAAAGGTTCCCTGGAGCAGTACCTAGTTGACCTGATCTAAGAAAAAGGGCAGGCTTAGACCTGGTTGCTGCTTTGGTAGAGCCAGTCGGAGAAAGGGAGGCCAGAGGGGAAACCTATGATGTGCTCTATGTTCCAATATTTGAGGGGCTGCCCCAGAGAGGAGGAAAGGGTCAAGCTGTTTTCCAAGGCACCCGAAGGCCAGAGAAGGAACAATGGATGGAAACTGAACAAGGAGAGATTCAACCTGGAAGTAAGGAGAAATTTCCTGACAGAACAATCCACCAGTGGAACAGAAGTTTCCTTTGGAAGTTGTGGGATCTTCATCACTGGAGGCTTTCAAGAAGAGACTGGACTGCCATCCATCACAAATGGTCCTGCTTGGACTAGACGACTCACAAGGTCCTTTCCAACTCTGTTATTCTGTTGTTATCCTGGAGCTTCAACCCTGGAGGCTTTCAAGAAAAGAGTGGGCTGCCCTCGGTCAGAAATGGTGTAGGGTCTCCTGCTTGGGTGGGGGGTTGGACTAGATGACCCCTTCCAACTACAAGACCCCTTCCAACTCTGCAAATCTGTTAAAAAATCCTTCAGGTTTCCTTAATGCCACTCCCTCCCATGCATGCTTAAAAGAAGCAGCCCTTCTGGCTTACCTATCAGTGAGACCCACATGGATAAGGCGGTTCCAAAGATACTGAAGTATTGCAGGAGATCGTACTTCATGAAACAAAGGAAGGTGAGCCCGGGGCCTTCACAGGCATGGCAGACCTGGTGGGAAAGTGGGGCTTGTTTATTCCCAGGGTTTTTGTGATTTAAAAAAATGGTAATTTAACAAAGTTGCATCAGAATCCTCTTGTTTGAAAGGCAATTAAGGCCTCCACCCACCCTTTACTCTGTCAGGATATTCCACTGAGTTGGTGCCATTGCAGAAAAGGTCCTCATCATCTGTGGACATCTATAGCCTCAGAGGACACAGGTAAGTTTTAAGATTCTTTGCAATTGATGTCATTAAAAACTGAAAGCAATTCTTTGAAATGATGAGAGAGAGGGGGAGGGAGAGGGAGGGGGAGAGAGAAAATGAGTAAAGGAGGGAGAGGGAGAGCAGGAGGGGGAGAGAAGGAGGGAGGGAGAGAGAAGGAGAGAAAAAGAGGGAGGGAGAGAAAGAAAGGGAGATAGAGAAATAGGGAGGGAGGGAAAGAAAGAGGGAGAGAGAGGGGGAAGAAAAGGGGGGGAAGAGAGAAGGAATGGTTTCCACAAAAATGTGAAACTTTGCCTATGGACGTCCTGGTTGCTTCTCCTGGCACCAAACCCCTCTCTGAAAACTATCCTTGGTATATTGCATTTCCCTTCTAGTGTGTAAAGGATTTTGTTTCCAGGCTGTTACACAGCTTGTTTTTTTTTTCAGGGCACGAAAGGCAAAGGTTGAACTGGGAGTTGGTTCAAAATATGTGATTGTCTCCAGAATTTAATTACCTGAGTCTGTTACAGCACAAAGAACCAGCCTCGGCTGAGGGGAGATAATCAAACACGTGGGGAAAAGATACAGAGGAAGAAAAGCCCACAGATGTTACCTGCCCTGTTTCTATGCAAGAATACATGAAAAACCCTCCCTCTCCTTTACAAATGAGAATTGGGTTGCTAAAGGGGTTGCTTAGGGAAGGAGGACTTACCAGGACAAAGAACATGGTGAAGAAGTAGACCATGGCCTCCATGTGAAACTGCCTCTTGGCTGCAATGCTGATGGTGGGGAGGAAGGCCAGGCTGCTAACGGTGGGCAGGAGCAACTTGGCAGCTAAAGAGCCCATTGGGAGGAGAGCAGCTCCTACCCCGAGGGCTGCCCGAGAGACTGAGAAGCCAAAGCCAGGCCCTGGGTGTGCTGGGGAGAGAAGGCAGCTGGCACCAAGGTCTCTTCTTTGGTGGAGAACAACAGCTGCGGGGAGCTCACCAGCTGCTCCTGTTCTTGGGTTCCACTTGAACAAATGGCCCCTTCCTTCTCCCAGGAGGAGGCTTCCCTCTGGAGCCAGCTGTCTTTGGAGCAGCTCCTGAGAAGGGCAAATGGGAGGAGGAGATGGAGATGTTGTTGTCCCCAAAACTGGGCTCTTGGTATCGAAGCCGATAAGTCACCGGACACAAGTCATCAGTACAAAATTATGCTTTTATTTTGGTACCAAGATATAAGGACCCTGGCTCAAAAGCTAACCAAAGGGCCTTGATGAGAATCTTAGAGCAATTTTTATAGTCAAAGGATGGTTGCATAAAACTTTTGCCCTTCCCCTAACAATGCATTCATAACAAATAACATTGATTGGTTATTTGGATCTCAGCCTCCCCCCCAGCTAAATGTCACGTCACCTGTTTTTCACCCCAGGTCATGGGTATCTTGCAAAGTGTCCTAGTTTCATGTGCCAGCTATGTGGTTTTTGGGGTTGTTTTTATAAGCAAGCTATTCTTGTCCCCTAATATCCTGGCTAATGGTTTAAGGTGCTAACTTCTGCCTCGCTAAGAATGTGCGGTTCCAACCCCTTTCCTATTGAAGAGCAGTTCAAAGCAGCACTCCACTTCCTGCAACCCCCCTCCTTCCACAGAGAAAAGTAAAAGCAGTTTAAATCTTTGTCTGAGGCAGCACCCCCCACCCCCGCTACCTCCCTCCTTCTGTAAGAGAGAGGGAAGACAGAAAGGAGCAAAGCTGCTTAAGGCAAAGAAATGAAGACAAGAGAAAATGTTTTTATCAGAATTCATATTCCTCACTCTCATGACAATCCATACCTGGGTCCTATGTCCACATACAACCCTTCCTCTGATCCCCAGGGCCTCCTCTGTACATACATCCCATCACCTGATCCTTCAGAGTTCACTCTCGGTCGTTGACTGAGCCCTTTGGAATAAAGGGTTCCCCATTGGGGCAGGTGTGGAGGGAGGAGAGATCTGGGATCTGGCCCAGGGCAGAAGGGGATTTGATCTGCGGAGTCCATGAAGAGATGGGAAAAGGCCACAGACAGGGTCCTTCCCCCCCCCCCCCGAACAGAAGTCCTTGCTCCAAGGAGGTTTTGGGAGAGGTTGCTGAGCATGGACTCCCGGGCACGTAGCTCTCAGCTGCCTGGCCCCACAGGACCAGATGCTTTCCTCCGCCTCACCAAAGCTGCTTCCTGGGCACCGGGGGGAGGGGGGGGCTGCTGCTGGGCACAGAGAAGTACCAGACTGCACCTTGTATAAGAAAATGTAAATGCAAATAAAACACAATGAAGACATTTATTTTATTTTATTTTTTATTTATTTGTCAAAAGCTTACAATATAACAGAAACAAGAATAAACATAAGTTTAAATACAAGAAATAGGAACTAATAATTGGGGCCAATAGAACAGGGATGATAGGCATGATTGTGCGCTTATGCATGCCCCTTACTGACCTCTTAGGAATGGGGTGAGGTCAACAGAGGTTAGTTTGAGGGTAAAAGAGTGGTGGTTTGAGCAGGTGACAACAGAATCAGGTAGAGTTCCAGACATTGACTGCTCTGTTGCTGAAATATTTCCTACAATCGAGTTTGGAGTGGTTTACATTTAGTTTATATCTGTTGTGTGCTCTAGTGTTGTAGTTAAAGCTGAAATATTCATTAACTGGTAAAATGTTGTAACGTGATTTTATGTACTATGCTTAAGTCTAATCTTAGTCGGTGTAGTTCAAGGTTGTCTAAGCCAAGAATCTGTAGGGTATTCTGCTGTAAACAGAAGAATGTAGTACTCTTCTGGTAAAATATTTCTGGACTTGCTCAGTTGTATTTATGTCAGATATACAGTGTGGATTTCAGACAGCAGAGGTGAATTCAAGTATTGGTCTAGCAAAGGTTTTGAATGCCCTAGTTAGTATTACCAGAGGAGAAGCTTCGTAAAATTAAATTTACAACTCTTGGACTTCCGGTTTGAGCTTCTTCAGCGACAGACCGAAACCTCGTCTCTGCGAGGCTTCAATCCGTGCTTGCCGCTGGAGCGTCCCGAGCCGGCTGGTTTTGGGGCTAAGCCACCCCGTAGTGGTGGTGAAGAGGGGGGAGACTGCCAGCAGGGTTGAGGAGAGCCGCATCTCTCCTCCCCAGCTGGCCATTACTCCCTTTCCCGAAGGCGGTTGCAGCGGTGGTCAGAAATGGCCACCACAAAGAAGAACTCGGCCGGAAAAGAATGTGCGGGAGGAAGATAAGAAGAGAAAGTTTTGGTTGACTGGGTCAAACAGCAAAAGCAACAAATAAGGTACCCTGGAATTGAAACTGTTAAAAAACAATAACATTGTTCCCTAAGAAGATTTTTAAGCTGCGAAGGAGAGAGAAAAGGGAAAAGATTTGGTTTTCTCCTTTTCCTATACTGACAGCTAAGAGATTTAAGCAAGAAATTGGGAAAAAAAGCCACTTTGACATCAATAGGCATTTAATGCTGAAAATAAAAAGTCAAAGGGGTAATAAAGATTTCTGGATCATTAAAGCTTTTGAAAACAGGAAAGGAGAGAGGAAGAATAAAAGGCCAGGATCTGGAAGGGAGGAGACTGCCTGGAATTAAAAAAGAACTTACAGCAAAATCTCAACAAGACTTCCTAAAGATACATTCTAACTGAAATATCGCAACAAAAACCCCAGGAAGAGAAAGTAGAAAAAGAAATAAGAAGATATAACTCGGGACTATCTGGATTACTTGATGATTTCTGGATTCTTGGTTATTGTTTTGAATGACTAAAATCAATTGGGTGGTTGTTTAAAACTTTTTAAAATGGCTCCACTTTTAGAAGAACTGAAAATGGAACTTAAAAAGTACAAAGAAGATGCACAAGAAGGGAGAGGTTCTTTTGGCTTTGTATTTCAGTTTTTAGAAATGGAGATTTGGAATTATGAGAAACAACAAGAAATGCCTGCAGAACAAGAAGATTGCGACAAAGAAGAAGCCATCTTTAATGAACAAGTAATCTTAGATGGGGGGGGAAAGGAAAGGGGAGAAAGAGAATGGAAAGTTTAAGATTGGGAAAAACAACTCCAAAAAAAAAAAAAATAGAGTGAAAAATAAGTATAAAATCAGAAAGCAACAGAAGAGGGAAATGCAGAAGAGAGAATTAGAACTAGAGAGACAAGGGGGTAAAAGGGGGAGGGAAAAGATGAGAGGGAAGAAAGAAAGGAAAAGAAGTTATAAAGGACAGAAGCAAAATATAGAGAAACAGGGTCTATTTAGAGATAATGGGTGAAAACTTAATGGAAAAAGGGATTCTGCAAAGGTACATAAGATAGTATGGTTATATTAGAAGCAGAAATAATCTTAGAAAATATGAAACAATGTATGATTAAAATGTCTGATAAAATAGCTATCATAATTCAGTGGAATGCTTGTCAATAAATAAATGTAACAAAAGGTATATTTAATGATTTATAAAACATGTGAAGAGAAATAAGGGAAAAATTAATTATGGAGATTATATGTGTTTTTAAGGAAGTATGATATTTAATTGAAAACAAGTGTTAAAGATGTTATGGTTTTAATGATTATTAATGATAGAACTGAACTGGAATGGAATGAGGGTTTATGATTACATATATTTACAATCTTTTTTTAAAGAATATAGTGTGTATTATAAGAATGTGCCAAGCAGAATTCGATTGGAAGTTATGTATTATGTATTATATTGAAGGTTATAAACTTAAGGTATATATTGAAGTTTAAATAAGAGTTGAATGGATGTAATTAAAAGATATAAAGGTGTCATACTCCAATTAGTAACTACAGGAGAAAATTTGTTTAATGAGAAAAGATAATATGAAATTGAAACAGAACAGACAAAAGTATAAATATAATGATTTGAATTGAGATGAGATAATCAAAATAAAATTGAGAAAATTGAAAGAGGGGAAAAACTATATAGAAAATGTAAAATAGTATAAGATATGGAATAGAATACAAAAAGGAACATGAAATTGAGTTTTGTGTCTGTATAAAAAGTTCAACCCGGGACCATGCTATTTTCAAAAAAGATGTTTTACTTGTATTTTGTGTGTAAAAACCCACATAAAACTTTATTTAAAAAAAAATTAAATTTACAACTCTTAAAGCCTTTTTGGCAATACTGTTGCAGTGAGCTTTGGCACTTAGATCATTCGATATGAGAACTCCAAGGTCCTTGACAAAGTGAGGGTCATCAACAAGGTCATATCTGCCTAGATTGTATTTGATATATAGATTTTTTTTACCAATGTGTAGGACAGAGCATTTGTTGGTAGATATTTGAAGTTGCCAGTTGTTAGACCATTCAGACACATAATCAAGGTCTTTTTGAAGGACGGTAGCATTGACGGTGGTGTTGAATAGTTTAATATAATCAGCGAAGAGGACGCAGTTGCTAATAAGGTGGGACAATGTAATGGCATACATTCCAAATTTGTACTCTTTCTTGTTCATCAGATATGTATGCCACCCAATTCCCAACCTAAAACTAAAGTCTCAAAATAAAAATCAGAATATGATCAGACTAACACAGGTGGAAGGTACCTTTGATGTTTTCTAGTTCAATCCCCTGGTCTAGCAGGAGACCCTAGGCTACTAATTAATTAATTAACCATTCATTAATTGTGCTTATTCAAAAACATCAAGACTAAATTGCAAAAAAAGGAAGCCCTTTCCTGGAAAGGACCAATGCAGCTCAAATGGGAAATGGGGATTCCCTGGGCCTCAGAGTTGGCTCAGATCAACTCAGGCCAGGAAAGTCGGGCAAACATCCAGACGGTTGAGTTCTGTGTGACCTTTGCTGGTACCCCCACCCCAAGACCTCCTTTCATCTCCCCTGCAGCTTCCAAGTCACATGGCCATCTCTTAGGGACTCTGCTGGATCAAAAGAACATCCAAGGTAGAAGGGAGGGAGCCAGGAGGAAGAATCTGGAGAAATAACCCCACCCAGGTTTTCTGTGCCACTTTCCGTTTCTATTCCTTGCAAGCCTTCATGAACATCTTCCAGTATGCCAGTACATGGCATAAAAACCACACTGGTCCACCCACCGCAGTAGGTATCCCCTTGTATATTTTGCTGTTGGATGTTCAGATGCTATCTCTGAGGTTTCTTTCTGTCATGAGGGAATCAGAGGTGCTCTTCAGCCAGTTCGGACCAATTCTGGAGAACCGGTAGCTGAAATTTTGTGTAGTTCGGAGAACCAGCCAATCCCACCTCTGACTGGCCCTGCCCCCATTTATTCCCTGCCTCCCATTGAGTCCCAGCTGATCGGCTGGGTCTTCTTTGGTTGCCCTGCACAGGAGAATGGAGCTGGAAAGCAGGTTAGTGGGGTGGGGAGGGAAGGGGGATTTTGCAGTAACCTTCCCCTGCCATGTCCATCAAGCCACACCCACCA